TTTTTTAATTTGGACCAACTACAAGAGAATCTTAAATTCTGTCAGCTTTATCTCATAACTCTAATCATTATCAGATCAGAGTGATTTGACAAGTTTAAAGACATTCAGAAACTTTCATTGCAACAACATTAATAAACTTAGTGAGTAAATTTATAAATTTGAAGCTCATTTTTAACCATATTTTTAAAGCATGAAAAACTCATTCAAAATTTGTGTTCCAATTTGTTTGTTTATCACACAACCACTACAAAACCCTTTGCTCACTAAAATACAGAGTTGGGTTACTAGTTGCATTTACTCTGTTACAGTTATTTGAGTAACCATTTGGAAGAAATGTACTTTTAGGAGAATTTTTACCAAGCTTCACTTTTTACTTTTACTTGAGTAATTTTATTATGAAGTATATCTACTCTTACTTGAGTAAAATCTATGGATACTTTGTGAGTAACTTGACTGAATAAAGAACAACTTGTTTTCACCAAAYATTCACCAGACACACATACCTGCAGTTTTTGTTAGTTTCATAAATTTTATATATATTGATTTGGATTTTTTCTTTTTGCCTGAATTTGTCATTATGTTATTTAAATGAATTATTTCGATTTTGATCTTTAAAATACCGAAATTTCTACATAGCTTTGTTTTGGTTTGTCTGATGATGTCATTTTTAAATATTAAATGATTGAAGTCTTGATCATTTACTCAGTACTCGCCTTTTGTTACTCTTACTTGAGTCACATTTTGGATGGCTACTTTTTACTTTTACTTGAGTGAAAATATGTTGAAGTAGTGGTGCTCTTACTTGAGTACAGCTCTTGGGTACTCCTCAGCTTGCAAATAAGTCTGCTTTTATGTTGCACAAACCTGGATGTCAAAAACCTACAAGGCTTTTGTTACCTTTTGGTTTTTGTAGATCCTTTTGGACAGCAGAGGGCAACAAAGACCACAACTTCAATCTGAGAAACAAACTTTCTTCTAAACCACAACTGTCACAATTAACACAAACACAGCAGATAGAGAAAAAAGACCCATAGAAATAGACATTTTCACATTTGTTTATTTTACTGCAAGTGCCATAATGGTAAAGTAACTACATTTCATTTACAATAAATCCATCACATTTTAAGGCATGGCCTTCTATCTAGTTTATYGAGTATTTTATTACCTTCTCAGTGTTTTACTAAAAATACAAAACTGCTTTAGTATCAAAAGAAACTTGTAAAGCTGTTAGTAATTGTCAGATGCTGAGTAAAGACTCACTGAAAGCATCATTCATATAAAAAGTAACAGTTTATTATAAGACATTGTGACTGTATAAAATAAAAACAAGAATATTAATTTCATAATTCTCCTGGTCTAACACTTCACACAGATACCCTCAGATGTTACATTACTGTGAGAACGCTCAGGTCATGTTCAGCACATCGTTTGTTTCCAAGATGCTGAGCAGCGGTTAGTCTGTCCAAAGGTCGTGGCATTGCAGCATATTTCTCCCAACGACACGTCGACCTTTGATCGGCCCTGCTAAGCATGCAGCGGTTAGGCCTCGCTCACAAGCATCTCTTATTGGTTTATTATTTCAAGGTTTTCAGCGGCACGGTTGGCATCCAGCAAATTTCCTGTGGAAAGTTCTGCTCTCTTTCATGGAATGTAACCACACACATGTCCACTAACATTAGCCTGTCTCTAACTCACAGCCAGATACGTGTAGGGTGTGAAACAGCATTGCAGAGAAAAACAAAGCTACGATGGACTTATGCTGCGTCTTTTAAGGGGTGATTAAGTGTTCTTTATAATGCTGTTATGAATGTGTGAGCGTGTCGCTCAGCTCTCCTCTTGCAGTATTTGTAGTCTGTCTTCTGCGTAGTGAGGGCTGATGAGTCCAGTATCTATAGCCTCGCAGTCGTCGCTCATGAACACCAAATCCTGACAACAGAGAGAAACAAACAAGTGTTATATGTGAACTCAAACTGCTGCAGATTGAAATAATGAATCATCAAAAAAAAAAAAAAAAAAAAAAAAAAAAAAAAAAAAAAAAAAAAAAAAAAAAAAAACAAAGAGGCCCTAACTCGAAAACAAATCCTGGTGATGATGGTGTGCAGGTTTTGAACCTTCCGCTTCAGAATCACCAGCCTGGGTTTATTTCTGCACGACTGGCTGGGATGGTTCAGCAGCACGTACAGAAAGTCACGGAGCTTGGAGGTGATGCACTGGTTCTAAAAAAGAATAATAATAATTTTTAAAAACCATTTAAAAAGCTGCTGTTCCTCAGTTTTGTGAAAAACAGACTTGGAAGACAAAAAGACATGTCCTGTTGTTATTTACACACTCAAAAAAACAGATGCAGTGGATTTAATTAAAAAAATATGTCAACTGGTTCCACTCAACAGAATTTACTTTACTCTCCTGGTTTTAAACTTACATGAACATCAAGAAAGATCTTGGGCAGGTCAGCAGCACARGTTTTCTACGAGCCAACAAACACAATCAGTACGAGCACACAAGACAGTCGACGTGACAAGACTGATAATAAAAAGGTGAAATGTTCTCACAGTTCGGCGGTCGTTGTGGATTTTCTCCAGCAGAGCCATGATTTCCTCGCTCAGGCCGAGAGCTCTGGAGTAGCAGGTGAGAGGAGCAGAGTGGGTCTGCTGCAGCTGCAGGAGGCTGAGGAAGAGGCAGCAGATCAGAGCTGAGGGGCCCGGCCTCATGTCGACGCCGTTRACTGCTGCTGAGGGTCCAGCTGCTTCTGCAGTCATTCAACAAGTAGACCATGGAGAAACCTCTGGTCGCATATTTAAGGTTGGACTGGAAGGGGGAGGAAAAAATAATAAAGAGGCTGACGTAGGAGAGCAGCTTCAAAGCTCAGAGGGGGAGAAAAACATTCGGGGTCTACTGAAGAGCAAATGACTCAAGATCTAAACAGCAGCCATGATTGTTTGCTACAAGATTTTTGCATAATTGTTCTGTCAGAAAGAACAAAAACATATTTTAGGTGGGAGTTTGTTTTGCCATTAAGGAAAGAATGTAAAAAACTCCAAATTTACATCACAGTATTTATACTCTATATATTGAAATGCCTACATTATATCTTCTATAATAAATATATTAAATGTACATGTCTCTCCAACTTAAAAAGACATTTTTAGATTTTGAGTGGTACTTATATACCAGACCTATACTTCAGAGAGAAAAACAGAAATGTACAGCTTTATAGGCCTCTGTTGCAATAGAAAGTTTAGAAAGTTGTTGTTTCCTATTAAAAATTAATAATTACAAACACAGATAAATTCCACAAGACATAGCTTGTCTAAAAGTATAGGAACATACAGAGGAATGATTTTCTTCTTTTTAATGCTGCGTTGAGTCTGCAGCTGTTCATTTGTGGGGATTTCTGCCTTTATTTCTTCTTCACAAAGGCTGCGGTCAATTAAGAAAAAAAAGCCTCATAATGTAGGAGCTTGAGTGTTTGTTGGGTTTCAGTCTTTGGTACTGAGAAGCAGTACTGCGTTAAGTCAAAAAGAAAAAACAAGTAGGTCCTCTGGATGGGTTCTTCTTTAGTGAAACGTTTCGTCTCTCCTCCAAGAGACTTCATCAGTCTGATGAGTTTCATTTGAACTCAGCCTTATAAGCACTGCCTCCACATTGGTGGACAAAGAGGTCAGTCACATGCAAAAGAGGGCCATAGCCTAACAATAGGCTTGATTAGCTCTATTGTTCATAGAGGGTCATATGCACCATCACCTGACCCGTGTCGTATTATGTGTATGTAGTGAATGCAAGTGGGGCTCGACGTCCCCTTGTTTTTGTCCCTGTATCATTGGGTCCCTGATTCACACCTTTTGCTCACAGGGGGCTGAGTCATACTTGCAATAACAACATTGTAGGACAACTGGACACGAAGGCCTCCACCTCTGTTTAATGGTGGATGGTTTTTCTCTACAAAGAATGTGACTAAATAGAGCTAATCAAGCCTATTGTTAGGCTATGGCCCTCTTTTGCATGTGACTAACCTGTCCACCAAGTGGAGGCAGTGCTTATAAGGCTGAGTTTCACCTGAAACTCATCAGACTGAAGAAGTCTCTTGGAGGAGAGACAAAACGTTTCCCTAAAGAAGAACCCATCCAGAGGACCTACTTATTTTTTCTTTTTGATTTTTTCTACCTGGATTACTGAGATGCATCAGGACATACTGTGTTAACTGTACTGCTCTGGCCCAAGATACATCTCTTTCTCTCTAAACGTACTCTGAAAGGCTAATCAAACATAACAAACACAGTAAAGGCAAGAACTCCTCAAAGGAATAGTATAATGGTAATAATATATTGACATAATTTAGRTCACATGAAGATCAGTAATGGGGATGTAAATGACCCAATCTGCAAACAGCTGGGACCTCAGGAAACAAAAAGTGAAACCATGGTGTTATCAGGTAGTTGCAAGATAAAGAGGATGATGCCTTATAAACATCTTAAGCTTGATTTACAATGTGACACCAGATTGGTGATTACATCATTTTCTGAGCATATAAACAGGCTGAAGATGCTGCCGGGGATAAATGATCATAATTTCCCCCTCTGTCCGCCCACAGCACTCCCTGTGAGCATTGCTGAGCATATGAACAATACTGATAGCAAGTAGGGGTGTAAATCACCAGATTTACAATACGATATTATATTGATTTGTTTTGGAGGACGATACAATATTTTTTTATATTACAGTCGGTCACGATATGATTCAGTTTAATTCACAAGTCTGCGATCGATATGATGGAATATCGTATGCCCATCTAGCACAATGATTTGGTTAAACGGGCATGATATCAGTCCACATTGGGCATACGATGACAAGATCGATGTTTTCATTTTGCCTCAATTTAATTGATTCATTAACCATTATATCGATATATAGATGTATCGATGTATTGTTACACCCCTAATAGCAAGATAATTTATTTTTCAGTCAATGATGTATCAGTGTTGTGTTGCGTGAGGAATCGGAAAACCTTTTTTTTCTTGTTTAACCGTGGAAAGAACAAGCGAAAGTCGCTTTGAGACTAGATGAATATATTGTGCAACTACCCATAATGTAGGGTGACCAGTAGTCCAATGTTGTAACCAGTGGAAGGCACACACACACATAAAGGTTAATGTGACCCATGACAGACCACACCAAGGAAGGATGGTTGTGCGCCAATAATGACAGAGCTGTGCCTGCCAATTAGACACGGGTACTGAACTCTTTACAAGGCTTTTCATCATTTAGTACAACGTCTTTTCAGTTCACCGTCTTGTGTGTAAGCTGCCTTAAAACCAAAGCAGATCTGAATGTTTGATGGGATTCATAACCAGGAGGGGCTGATGACGAGTGGTGTATCATGTTCAGCAAAGAGAGAGAGAGAGAGAGAGAGAGAGAGAGAGAGAGAGAGAGAGAGAGAGAGAGAGAGAGAGAGAGAGAGAGAGAGAGAACCTTAGCAGACTCAACTGTTTCTTCAATATGCTTATTAACAAATGAAGACACAAAAAAGCAGTACGTGATAACAAGTCAGCTGCCTTTACTTGAAACAAAACCAAATGCTACAGATACTGTATATTAATATTCATAAAATGTGCTGGTTCTGCTACAAAGTTAAATAATATATCATCTTGGTATATTAAAATAGAATAATAATCTTTGAAAAAATGTAATTGCATGTAAAGTTTATGTTGCTGGAGCTACTGAGCCCTTCTTCAGGTTGAGGAAATTCATCCTCCGTTTCCTTGTCGGGACACTCACAGAGTCACGTGACTCAGGTGGATCCCGAAACACAAACAGGCGATCTCCGGCGGCGCTGCCCGGCCCACTGCAGGCCGAGGCTGAGCTCAAGGTTTCCTCTGCCAGGCGGCGCTCCGCTTCCCCCGCCGGGTCCACCGGGTCACCCTGCAGCTGCTTAACAAGCTCGGCTGATTTCAAAACAAGTCGTGCTTTTGTAGAACTGTCCCGCTTCCCCTTTCCTTTCACCGGTGGAACATCTCTTGGACGTGGTGGACGGGATCTGGGGAGCAGTTTTTCCACCAGGCTCTGCCACTTTTCATGATGTCTGAGAGAGGCGGAAGACAAAGAGCCTGTTGTTAGTGGGACTGGAGTATTTAAGTGCTTACCTCATGCGTGTGGTCACTGAAGCCAAGCCACTAAACGCTTTTGATGAAAAGCTAATTTCACTTCAGTTTAGGACACGCCAATGATGTTTGCGACCACTGATCTGCAAATTAGTCCTGGTGGTGGTGCAACATCGGGTCTTTATTTGAAAACTGGTAAAAAAAAATCAAAAAAATCACAAAGACGTGTTGAACTCACCTCTCTTTTTCCACGACACAGCTTGGCATATTTAGACTATTTTTCTGCACCACGTTCTCCCTCAGTTGGACAGGGAGACGTCTGTTCAGTTCCTCAGCACATCTGGCAAAAAGAGTCATTGGTATAAAATGAAACTTTGTGACGAGCTTTGATCAAGAAACACAAGAGCAGAACTCTACTGTCTAAAGGTATTTTCATGAATTCAGATATGAAACCGAAACAGTAAAATGTCTTCAGAGTTAAAAGGAAAAAGAAAAATGTCTGAAAGGAAGATTAAAGACAGATGATAGAGGTTAATTTGAATAAAAAACTTGGAGTAAAGCCTTCATATTGGTTGTACAGTGTGTTGAACTGCAACAATATTTTATTATTACTTCTGATAAGCAGAGTTAGAATTGTCTTTTTCACTTTTTAAATGTGTCAAACTCAAGGCACGTGGGCCAAATGTGGCCTATGAGCGACTCCCATCTGGTCCACCAAGGGGGGAGCCCCCCCCAAAAAATATATATACTGTATATTTTTTTCTTTACTTAATATAAAAACCCAAATGTTTACCATAGTGTTAAACCTAAATAGAAGCAAACCACACATCTACTTAACACTTTCGCTCAAAGAAGAACAAAGAAGACTCCATTACTAAGACTTACAGGATCAAAAAACAAAACAATCTGTTTCTTTTATTTCTACACCTAAACATGTGCTTTGAACCAAAAACCCAATGTAAACTCAAGACAGAAAAGCCATAAAGTACAAATTTAAATTTGTGGTGTCCCAATGCAAATATCCTGTCCTGCAAAGACTCCATTGGCTGCCCACCAAGTTCCGRATAGAATACAAAATTCTTCTGTACACTTTCAAGGCCCTTTACAATCTCGCCCCACCATATCTTTCAAATCTTGTTCATATTGCCATTCCCTCTCGCTCCCTCAGATCATCCTCTTCCATCCATTTGACTGTCCCCTCCGCCCGTCTCACCACCATGGGGAGCAGAGCTTTCAGTCGCTCTGCTCCCCAACTCTGGAACTCAWTACCACCCCACSTTAGAAACATAAAGTCATTCTCAAAWTTTAAAACCGAACTCAAAACACACTTTTTTAGATCTGCCTTTTCCACATGACACAATTGGTTTTGCCTGATTTTTTACATAGATTTTACATAGATTTTATATAGATACATTGTTTTTATTTTTATCTATTTTTATTGTTACATTTTATTTGTTTCTGTTACTTTTTACTCTTTGTATGGTGTCCTTGAGTGTCAGAAAGGCGCCTTTGAAATAAAATGTATTATTATTATTATTATTATTAAATACTGGTACAGATACTGTACCAGTATTTTTACAAGAACTTATAAAGTGCCCTGATACCTGGTAGCAGATGCTGGTGTCAAGAGGACATTAAATGTGTTACAGTTTAAATTTCAAGTGAAAAGTCTGTCAGTTCCATAAAAATTTTACAAGTTGAAAGAAAATCGTTACATTTTCAAACAGCATATATCATGCTGTATATTTGATTTGATGCAGTCAGAGGGGCTGTAGGCCCATAAGGAAGGAGAACCATTTTGTTTTAAATAAAACAGTATTTTTAAAGTCATTGTGTAATGTTTAAGTTGTAATTCAGTGAGTACTCGGTAGGAATGGAAAAAATAATCAAGAATCAATTATACCTGCTTAAAATGTTAATCGATTCATAAAAATTAAAGGATCAATTTCGTGGTTGTTGTATAACAGTAAGTTATGTCTTTAGTTTGATACTTGATAACTTGTGGTCACAAAAAGGATTTGTGATTATGTTTATGTTTATTTAGAAGTTATATTCTGTTATTAAGACAACAGACACTTATAGTTTGATACAAGGACAAAAATGCTGATGTTAAAAGAAACAAAATTTGTTATAAAATGGCTACAATTCACTCTGTTGAAGAAAAAATGAAATTAATACCAATTATCGAATAAATCAGGACTTGAGTGAATCTATATATCCTTAGTACTTAATATTGGTACTTGGTATCAGCAAGTACCCAAACTGTAGTACTCGTACTCTGTTTGAGAAACTGTTATCGGGACTTTCCTAATTCAAAGGAAAGATGGCGATAACGTGAGGAGGCAGAGCTGACCAACACATCATCAGGTCAGCACCATCATTTTAGCTGTTTTACTTTATTCCTACACTTAGAAACTTTAATTTGTTGCTTTGTCTCCTTATGTAACCCTTCAGAGCTGCTTCAAAAACAAATGAATAAAAAAAAGATAATGAAAACATTTGAATGACTGTTCTTTGCTTTGTCCCTTTTTGGTTATGATAATATAGAAAACAACATAGCGAAGACCCAGAGGGGTCTGATTTGAATATTAATATTTCATAGTAAGATAACAAAAACAACTCTTATTTTTCATGTTATTTTATAAAAATAAAAACATTTCACAAATATCACGTTGCGTTTCAGCCAATTCCTGAATGTAAAACTTTCAAATCAAAGGCTAAATCAACAATTATTTCTGACGGGATTGATTAAAATGAACATATAGGATTACAAATCTAAAAAAAGTACATCCTTTACCTAAAACTCAAGCCTACTAATCACTTCAGTTCTCTTGAATATTAAAATTAAAAGTCTTGTCGAGGATGGAAGACACACAAGATCTAAAGATGAAATTTAGCTGTTTCGCTAGTTTTGGCGCATTTATATTCAAAGAATATTGATTATTATACATTGTCCTTTTAAATAAATAAATGAAAGGAAAAGCAAAGTGAGGCACATGTTGCACGTTGTTTCAGAAAGAATACTTTCATTCCCTTGTCTTCTTGCCAGACTGCTCCATTTCTAAACAACCTCCTGCTTGAGCCATTATTCATTAGTAAAGTAATCCAAACTCAGCAGGAGACACTCAAGAGGGTTCCAGGGCATCAGGAAGAGATGGAAATGAAATGACGAGTAAAATAGTTTATCTTACTATCTTTGCTCAGGGGAAAAGGACCTCTGTGGAGTTGCATCCAAACAGCATTTGTTATGTCTCCATGCATGGAGATGGCTGGGTTTCAGTCAGCTGCTGGACAAATGCTGGTTTTACTTCATCAGTGACTTCACTGAGAAAACTGCTCCCAGAACCACAAAACTTTGTTGTTGTAGTGAACGAACTCTGCACAAAAAGATCTGCCAGCTGTTTTACGCCAGATGTTCTTCCTGATGCAACCAGGGCTCAAACCTGCAGCCCCAGGATTGCGAGTCCACGGTACTGACCACCAAGCTACCACAGAACTTTAAAGGGATCCAAGATAAGTTGGAACATTAGACTTTATTTAATAAACATATTTTAACTGTAAAATAAAGACTGTAAAAATACTGTAGGCTGTTTTGTTTTGTACATTTTTAACAATATTTTTTAACACGGATGGAGCCATTTTATTTACACACAAA